CGAATTTCTGAGACAGGTCTTGGTCTAATTCATGATTAAGTGTATAATTTTTTTTAAGTACTGGAATACTTCCAAGCCGTCATCACCCTTTCATAAAACGTAAAATGGTCAGTCAGTAATAATCAATAGAAATTAATTAATTAAACAGTAAGTTTTGAAATTCATTAGGCTATTTTAAACCTTGTAAACAAAAAAAAAGTTTTTAAAAAGAAGTGTTGTTAATTAATTGGCGCAGTCGCGTGGTTTTTTGGGAACCAAAGTCTCTGCTAAATCGATTCCTCGTATCAACGATTTACGAAAAGACAACTAAGAAGTTGTAAGGTTGGCCTCATTTATGTCAATATTTTTCTAATATAGAAAATTCTGCAGAATGCAACAATTAGCGAAAGGAGGCATCGAGAAGAGAAGAAGAGAGGACAAGACCGCAAATCGTTTGCCTTTGCAAAAACTCAGATTTTGAAAACGGTATTCATTGCCAAACCGAAAATTCGACCAAAGTATGATTGATTTAGCAAATGTAACTTATAGAAGAAATGACTATTGAAATTGAGATGTTAACCCTTCCCATTGGATGATTAAATTCATTGAAACATCGAATTCAAATATGTTGCATATTTAATAGCAAATCTAATAGAGAGACCTATTAATTGCAGCTTCTTTCACTTATATTCTGTGTCAGTACAAGATTCAAGTTTGCTTAAGGCTGTTCGCATTTGCAATACCTAACTTTTACCCTAAAAAATTAATTACAAGTCAGTTTCACTAATTATATCAACGAGATCTTGGTAAGAAAATACAACCAACCTCCAATTTTTCTTCAAAAACCACATTTTAAACCGGCAGGTAATTCATTCCAGCAACTATAAACCAATCATGCTTCAAGAAAAGGATCAGCCAAACGTTTCCAAATTGACGTGAAGTCTTCACTTTGAACTCCAGATGAACGTATAACTAAGACGCCAAAAATAACCAGATATTAAAGACTCCACGCTTGCGAACAATTTTAAGTTTGCTTATAAATTAATATAATTAATGCTACTTTACAGATATCCTCAAAGAAACTGTAGCTGCAAGAAGAATAAAAATTGAGTTGAATCAAACGGAGGAATTATTGGTTAGAATGAGTTATCCGAGTTGATTCCAAGCAATTACTACCAGGGTAATTCCCGTCCATCTTATTGGTTAATTCGTGCAGCAAACTTAAAGTTACTGTTAAAATATAATAATGATACATATAATTTAATAACAGTTTAAATTATGTTGTTCTATTTTGGATTTGGTTTAGATGTTACATGTCCTTGCCGCCTTGTCCTATCAGTTAGTATAAACAAGCGCCCCACAAACGTTCAGAGGAAATCATAGAATGACATTGAATGGAATATGTATCGAACACGTGAGGAAATCTGGTGCTTGGCACCCATTTAGATAGGAACTCCTGACAACAACCCCGCGTAAAATAAGGAAAATGAACTATTTCCTGTTCCGTGACTAAACTGGATAGTCTCCTAAGCAGTATTATGAAGCAAATCAGAACGATACAAAATCGCAACCTTATAAAATTTTACTGCGCTATCCGGCTGTGAGGGTGCGACATAATGCAACAAAATTGAAAAGTACGAAGCGTCTTTATCTGTATTTGTATTTTATCAGGTCGTTCTCGTACGTATGAATATAAAGTAAATTGCGTCGCGTTTTCTTAAAAATCGTTTCTCGATCGTTTCTAACGCGAAAAGCATAACTGGAGCTTATCATGATCGAACATCATTTCCATTGCAACCGTTGGACATTGCAAGTTCTAATGGAAAAGATAGCCTATGAAACATTAAAATGTCTTTTCCCGGAGAGTAAACGGACTGTTTACTCTAGCAATAATGGTTTGGTTAAGACGAAAGAAAACTTTCGTTATGTCGTATATTAAACTCATACTATCAGTTATGGCTTTTAGGTACCAGTAGGTAGCGAACGTCTGAGTATGTTGGAGAAAATCTAAAATTATTATCACTTTTCGATTAAAAACAAAAACTTTAAAGATATTCAACAATTTAGTTGCTAGTTTCATAAGGCGTTGCACTAATTCGAATAAAAAAGTATTAGAGTCAAATTTTTCTGCAACATAACTTTCATTTAAACAAAAAAGGTGAATCATTTGGTAAATTATTATGTCTCTGTTGTCAATATTTACATTAAATGCTGACTAATTAATAATGCCTTCTAAATATTAGCATTTCTGCAAATTAGCGCCGGCCAATCAATAAAACAAGAACAGAACATCGGAAAATTGTTTACACAATTTAAATGGATTGCGTACTCAGTTTAACTCTCATCAATGTGATTTTGGCATTTTGAAAATAGTTAATTTAAAATAACAAAAACAAACATATGTTTTGACAGAGCTTCGAAAGCTCTTCGATTTAAAAAGACATGTTCAATGGCTTTATAATGTGCGTTGGTTGATATGTGTAGCTTGTCCTTTACCAGACTCGTTCAAAAGATATTGCTCAATGCAACCTGTCAGCCTATAACCAGGGATATCAGTTTAGCTGGAACATATTTCCTGCTATCTGCTACAGACCAGGATATTGTGTTCACTGTTTGAGCCTCAATAGAGGATTATCGCAAGAGTTTTATATTATAACGTTGAATTTGCAAGTTGTTTTTCTGCAGAAAATTTTTGAAATTGCTAAAAATTCATTTTAATCTCATCATTTTTATCTAATTAATTACAACCAATTCTGCATACTTTTCCGTAAATGAAACGTTTTGTAAAAAATGATTGTGAGCTTCTAATTCATGAGTATCTTACTGAAGATTTTACATTTTTGCGTTACATGCGACAGAAATGCCCATCAAGCTGCACATTTAAAAAAATTGTATCTTAAACAGTGTTCCTTTAATTTCAACTTTATGATTACCCACCCACCAAAATACTTTCGGTTATTGTCGGCGTATTTTGAAGAACATAGATGGTAACATCGGTGTCTCGTCAATGGTCTTTATTTTTATCTTAGTGAGAAATGGCCAAAAACTGAAATTAATGTTGCATTACGACTTTTGCGATTTCTGTCTATAACATGTGCTGTCCATTGCAGAGTATACAAATGGCTATTCTACCACACATGCCATTATCCTCAATCCCAACTTCAAAGTAAACATGTCGTTTTCATGGAGGATTCCCCCCCAAAACAATTTTTTTAAAGTATTGTTAAATGTGTTATTCAAAGTAGATCACTGTTACAAAAAGTTCATATTTCCTGTTGTATGTTCGATTTAAATTCGGCGTTTCTGTTACCAAAATTAACCATCAAAATTAAAATACTAAAACGTAATTACATACTTCAATTTCATATTTTTTAGATGTTGCTACAGAAAAATCAAAAATTGTGAGTGGATACAGTGAATATTAGATGAGGATTTAAAATTTATTTATATAGTAAAAAACCAAATTTGCCCATGCAAATAGGTACAAGAAAAGACGTAACGAATACGTCGCCCTACGTTTACATTGGAAAATGTACCGTTTTAATATTAAACGGTTTGGGTAAATCGGTCCATTATCAGAAAATGCGTTTTAAAAAGCATACTATTAGGGCGTACTGCACAATAAGACCCTAATTCCACTCGATATTGAATATTTCCAAATCTTAATATCGCGCACCGCATACCAAGTAGAAGTTTATTGATTCCACGTGTATTGCAAAGTGTGCAAAACCCGAATATTTCGGCAGAAATTTAAAAGAAAAGTTTTTCAAGAGTTACAGTAATATTTGCTTCTGCATGATCTGTTTGAGCTTGCACGACAGCAGACTTTCTTGCAGTTGAAAATATGAAAAATCGGAAAGACCCGTCAATTTTATTTGTAAGGGGGACACTTTAAATTAATATTTTTAGCTTTCTTCATTCAACCCCCTTGGACGGGTAGATGTCACCCTTAGAATCTTAAATGGGAAGGGGGGTCAAGTGGCACATCGTTCTAAAGAGCATTCAATTCTCTGTACATTAGATACTACTTTGTTGCTTTTTGTTCAGAGGTTTTCGAATAATCGCGTTTCAAAATTACAGAAACAACTAAACTTGCTCAGATATTAGTTTTCAGATTAGTGTTTACAGAAAAACAATTGTATAGGGTCACCTTGTAATATAAGTTTTTAGAAGAGTAGGTTACACTGTTAAAATCATTGAATAGCAGGAAGAAAATGTAGTTTAAAGCTTGATTATTAATTTTTGATGTTGATATTATGTCTCCTTTATTTTACATCGGAAAAAAATGTATACAATAAAACCCATGTCATCCACTTACGCACTCTTCCTTATAAGTTGTTCAAGTGTTGTAATTTTTCCTGTAAACAATAATGTCTGTTTTTGAACTCTTTACTAACATTTCGGTAAACTACATCGGGGATTGACCGGCATTCTGCTGCAATTCGCCTTTTATGATCATCAATATCAGCAGGTTGTGTTTTATAAACAATGTCCCGAAAGAAAGAAGTCTAAGGGTGTTCAATCCGGTGATCTTGAAGGCCATTCAATTGGTCCCCTTCTGCCAATCGATCTGTCCGGGAATATCTTATCAATATTAGGGAGGGTTCGAAAATAGACTTTATTATTGTTTACAGGACAATAGACAACATTTTGAACAACTTATAAGATAGTACGTAAGTAGATCCCATGGGTTTTATTGTAGAAATGTCTCTTCCGTAAATAACAAGTGATTTTTCCCGAAGTAAAATAATTAATAAATCCGAAATCAGTTGTTTAAGGCTAAAAATATTCTACTACAAATAAAATTGACGGGTATTTTTCCGATTTTTCATATTTTCAACTGCAAGAAATATATTAAAGCTGGGAAGTTTCCAAATTGACACCCGGTATAATATTATGCACTATATGTAGGTTATTAAAATCTAGAAAATTTTCTAATATACCAAACTTGCCTTTTAATAAATATGTCGAAAACTCAATCATTTTCCGCAAGTGCATCAGTAAATATTATTGACAGGCGTCCATAACCAGTTTAGTCTCCTCTAGGACATACACCGAGGCATGGAGGTTAACATTGAATGGTTTGATAAGAAGTTGAAAGGTTATATGAACGACTAGATATTGGCATTTACAGTTGCATAAAGTCGCTACTTTTAGTTCCACAAAAAATGCTAAGCAAAAGTGGAACCGCGAAATGTGAATGGTTTTTGTTGATTTTTGGTGCGGTTCTGAGCATTGGATATGGACTGCCTCAGAATAAGTGTTCGGGTGTTTGTGCAGGTTTAGGAGATGACAGCTCAGAAACGATAGATGAGGGGAGCGATTCCGATTATGGCTCTCTGAATGACTATTCTGACGATTTTGTAAATGCTACTAACGGAGGAATAAAAATCAACCAGGAGTCATTAAGTAGGTAACATAGAAAATAGAGAAAATATTTATTATAATTTATATATTATATGTACTAAATTGGAGACTCTTCAATTGTACATTTTATCAAAATCAAGCAATTTTATTACAACAATTAGGTTCGAGTGTATTAGGTCTTATTATTAAGAAAGTCTGTATTTCGACTCCTATATAATGTGGATATACAAGGTGAGTTACGTAGACCGTACATTAGCAGTTTTTGACTTGCAATTGTTTTAAAATCTTCAAATTTTGTTTCCGGTCATAACAAGTCTTGCCGAAACCACCTAAAATTCATTTTAGCTTCCAGCTATATTTTGCCTAACTATCTTATTTCAAATGCAAACCCATAATTTCTTTAGCATGGTTGGATCGGCCTTCCAATTGCGAGTGAGTTTGGACAACCCTAGCTTTGTTAACTTACCTCTTATAGTTTACGGGAACGGTTCTAAATTCAAATCCCAAATTTGGTAGGGCATGCATCTGACAGTCGAAACTCCCCAGGTGAAATTAGAGTACGCATTTTTTAGCATACGGGTGGACGCAGCATACAAACATTGATATAAATAAAATTTAAAAAATATTTTTGAATGACACCTACCAACTCTTTTGGTCCTGTTTAGTTTAGTTTCTTATTGTTTAATCAAAAAATTTTTCAAACATTACCCATAAAGTTTGTTGTTGCCATTTAAAAAACTAATTTTTCCAGTATTTTTATATCACCCGGGCTGCATGCGCCCATATGCTACGAAATGGTTACTTTAAAGTCATATTGGGAGATAGCTTGGGCTTTCAGCTCCCTGCCAAATTTGGGCCTTGGGTTTAAAACCGTTCTTTAGATATAGCTTGTTCCTTAAAGATCTGTAATGATATTTTTTTCATAAAAAATTAACTTAAAGATAAGTTAACAAAACTAGGTTTATCCTAACTCGCAATTAATTGTAAGCTTAATCCAACCATGCTAAAAGTATTAGGGAGTTGAATTTAAAATAAGAAAGAGTTTTTGTCCCTCCTTTATAGCTGGAGTGCTAAATGTATTTTAGATAGTTTCGGCACTACACACGTTCAGACCAAAAACAAAATTTCAATGTTCTGAAACAACTGGAAGTTGGAAAACCTCTAATGCACAGTCTACGTTAATCACCCAGTATAATATGGCGTATAAACATTGTACACATATGCTAAGCAACAACAACAAATGTCCGCAATTATTTTCTTGGTGTATTTTCCTCGATATAAATTAATTGGAATGTTCTAATTAATTACTAGAGGCAAGTAAATAATTGAGCAACAGTTCAAAATATCACTAATCAACTGGAAACATTCGACAGAAAAGCACATTGTTGTTTAAAAGGGATTTACCACTTAATTTGTTGATAATGGCTTAGTTGATTAATCCTTAAGTATATTATGTTAGTTACGAGAAAAGCTTGTGCTAACAGTTAATGTATGTCCAGGACCATCATTGCCCGGGCAATGTAAAAACGAATTTTAATTTTCGTCCATAGAAGAATTCAGTTTCAGTATTTTAATCAGAGATCGAGTTCATAGAACAGTTTGCTTTAAAGCGTAAATATTGACATGCAGAGGAACTTTGGAAAACCGCTAACTGTAGTAGGTACCTATTATCAGAAACCTGCCGTTTAACCTTCTTTCAGTGGGTACTGTAGAAACAAATCGGTTCTTAGAACTTTCAGGAACAGAGCCATAAAATATAAATTATATTTTATAAATAATTAATGCGGAAATATAATATTTGCAGCAAAATGAGTTGTGGGTTTACATAAAATTAAACACCCGATAAAACGTTTGTTTCCTAATTTTTTAGATGAACTTTTGGTCATGAAATTGACCAAGGTATCAACTTCTTCCCCATGTCTATTTTGTTTCGGCATTCACCTGTTAATGTCTGAGAACTTGTGTGTATAGTCAGAATGTATTGTTCTATTCTATTCATTTAAGTACGTAAGTCTTATTCGGGATTTTAAGTCAATCAAAATAATGACATTAAAATATTAATAGCTCGGGAAAGGTGAGATATAGACAGGCAAAGCACCTGTGAAATGTTTGCTAAAAATAGCCTACAAACCTCGTTCGTCTGTAAAATACCTGGATCTCATTTGAAATGTATCACCAGACAGCAGCATCTTGAACAGAGAAACTTTTCAAATTGTTATTCCTTTGCCCTCATTTGTCCTCTGCCGACTTAACGCACAAAGAAAATTGATATACATCATTTTACAGGTTACATTAGTTAACAGAGTCAGTTAATATACAATGTTATTTGCTTTAAATTACACTTTGAATTTTCTCAATAATTAGGTTTTGTGCTAATGATTTGAGTGATTTTATCAAAAGTGCATATTACATTAAAATAAAATAAAAATTGTTGCAATGTTTCTTTCTATAATTTTTAATTATGTAATAACGCCAAATTTTTACTACATATTCAGCTAAATCTGTAATAACCAACTTTATTTATTAATATATACAATTATACTTAGCCATCCATCTACTAGCTTTTCAAAAATAAGAAAATAAAAGCTTGTCGACATTCACATATTTTTACTGCCATTTTTTTCAGGATTTTTAACTCCATGTCAGACTCCTAATTTTGAAGTGTCGCTGTGTACTGAAATATCGAAATGCCTCGTCTTGGATTTAGTTAAATCAAAAAAGAAATACTCTCAATTTGTCGAAGCTTCTAAATGTGGACCCACCAACGAAGACCCAACCGATTTTAAAGTTTGCTGTGGAAGATACAACAGCTTTAGAAATGTTAGCATTGCCGCTGGTAAATTTGTAGTCAATTATTATGAAATATATGTAACGCATTCATATAAATCGAGAAACGGATTGAAGCTATAATAGTTTTCGATATTTGTATTAAACGATTACTAGCAGATTACAAGCTTATTCTTTGTGTTCCGTACCTAATTGAGTAAAATGCATGTTTATACATAATATAACTGTGGCATTCCAAGAATCTTAGGTATTAAATATAAATTCTTGGACCCAAACATTATTTTATGCCCTATACGTGAACATAATTATACTAAAACCATATTCTAGGTTCCCAATCGGTTAAAGCTCTACCTGACATTAGCATTTTGCCAAAAAAATGTGGAACTCAGAAACAACTTATCAGAGGTCGAATTGTGGGCGGAAAAGAGGCAGCCCTTGGAGAATATCCTTGGATGGCGCGGCTGATCCACAAAAACAGTCATAGCCAAAAAAGTTATGGTTGTGCGGGGTTTCTAATCCACCCTAAATACGTTGTAACCGCTGCACATTGCATTAATTCAGAATTTAGTGAAATTCGAGGAGATCCGTAATTATACGCTCACATAAATGTATGAATAATTATAAATACACTTTTCCAGATATTCAGTGCTACTTGGAGAGCATAACGTGACAACAACTGTAGATTGTTCTCCTGGGGGCACATTTTGCGCCGATCCATTTCAAGTCAGTCGAATCAACAAGATTATAATACATGAGAACTATGACCGACACTCAAAGGGCCATCACAATGATATAGCGTTGATTCATTTGAATAAGGCTATTAAACTGTCGAGTAAGATTACGTATTTACTTAATTTTTTGTTTTGAGATTTTATGTTGATCACTTTTACATGGATAAAAAGGTTAGGAAAAATGAACGCTAAAGTTCCTTAAATAGTGTACACTTGTTATAAATTTTGAAGCAAAGTTTAGTATTGAAAATTACTTGTACAGAAAATACTTTAGAATTGATCGATAAAGGCAATGAGTTACCAGCTTTATATATTTCAGACTTCGTCCAACCCATCTGTTTACTATCAGAGGAAAATCCGGAAACAAAGAAATATTTTTTGAGTGGTTGGGGCAAAACCGAGGAAGGTGAGTAGAGTTGAACGGTAAGTGTTTCCTCAGCAATACATTTTTTATTGATGCAGAAGAAACAAGCACAGTGAAAATGAAGCTGGACTTAACTCCATATGATAAAGCAGATTGTAAAGAAAAATTCAATATTGTCGAACTGGAGATACAAGATTCGCAAATTTGTGCAGGTGGTGAGAAAATGAAAGATGCCTGTAATGGAGATTCTGGAGGACCGTTGATGTTACTCAACGGTTAGTAAATAAATAATAATTACAAAAGTGCAAATAAGAAAAATTGAATTTATAACTGACATGTTTCAATTTGGAAATCTACTGACGAAAGATTCTTGGAGAGAGAAATGAAATTTGTAATTTGTATAAATATAATTTCAATATTAGGAACTCAGCACTACGCAGCTGGATTAGTCAGTTATGGAATCGGATGTGGTATGCCTGGTTGGCCTGGAGTATACACTAGTATACCATTCTATTTGGACTGGATTCTGAAGCAAATGTTGGAAGTGAATACCAAATCAGTCAAGCTAGGAAAGACCGGAAAGAAAAATAAAAGGAAAAAGGTGCAACCGGTCGAAGACAAGACTACAACGTAAATATAATTTAAAAATTAATACATAAATATCTCATATTTAATGTCTGTTATTTAGTAAATAATTTTTAATTATCGTTTTTTATAAATGCAATATATAACTGATCTTGTCGGAATGTTTTAACTGTATGATATTATACACGCGTATTGTAACTTAATTACATCAGCAAATAAATTGTATGGTTATTGTTTGTATTTTTCCTGGTCGATGGAAGAAGGTGAGACATTTTTTTATCTTTAGAATACATCACAAACATCCCTTTCAACCCGCGGAATAAAATCTGATTTCAATTGTAGTTAGATACACGTTTAAATGGAATAAAAATCCATTTCTATGATTTAAGAACCTTACATTTTTTTGAACATACCTTACATTTTGAAAATATTTACCATGTAGACTTTTAGAAGATTTTACTTTTAGTAGACTGTAGGAAAATCCAGTATTCACTTGCAACAGCTTTGGAAGAACTTTTATGATGTTTCCCCCAACAACCTATTAAGTTGTTACATTGATTCCTTAGAAGAGTTTTAAGAGGAGTTAAAGTCAGAAAAAGAAATTATAAAAAAGCAATGATCAGCGATCAATAAACATTTGCCGACATTGTGAAGAAAGAACTCAAGAAGCTTGCAATTTGTAACATAAAAACTTACTTCTATCTTCTTAGAGAACATTTCAGACTAGATTTCAAGCTTAATTCATGTCAATGAGCGAAGATTGTCTTTGAGTTTAAAATATTATTAGGACTTAGTATAGCAGCAATCCACTTCAGCATGTGAAATTTTAACAGGAAGCCGTTTACTTCATGTAATTAAGGACTCAAATTAACAAATGAAACCCAAAAAAAAATGTATTGAAAAGTTAATGAGAATAGATACAGCAAGAATTTATGGTTGTAAGTAAGTTAATTAGCAAATTTAACTTTTTTTGAAGCTCAATTTCACAGATTTGGCAGCAAACCTTAACTTATTGCTGGCCTGTTAAGAGAATTGTGTTCACATTTACTTCACATTAAAACTAAATTAGGTAGTAGACTTTCCTTTGAACATATAGCCATCCAGTGTCTTTCAGTGCTATTGTTTTGCCATTGTCTGTGTCTTGGTTACTTATTACCAACTGTTTAGCTTTTTTTCAATAACAATTTCTGCTGAAAAGATCATCCTAATACTCTGAAAAAACTTTCATTTGGAAACTACTTTTCTCATACTTCTTTGGAATATACTTCTCAGCTGTTATGCTAACGATTTCTTTTTGGAGTGTTTCAACCACGACTATGGACATATATTAACTCCGCAATACAAGTACTGGGTGAGGCAACTTATAGTAGTGGGATTTGAACAATCGACAAAACTTTTTTTGTTTTTTTATTCGTTTCGTTTATTAGTTTTTTGAAAATTTAAAATGTTATACAGGTTAAATATTTTGAAATCCACTTTTTCTATGACTAGACGGTCAGTAAAGTGATTAATCGAAATTTTATTACAACGATCTGTTAAATGTACAAAACAGATGTTCAAAATCTTAATTTGAATTGTTTACATCATTTTATTTGAATTACATGTTTTAAATTTTTCAGTATTTTTATGAAAATTAAAAAAAAATCTCTAACTAGAAAGATGTTCATTTTAGGAAAAACATATTTGCTTTACATTGACTTTACCTAAAGACATGCACGCTTAAATGAATGCAAGAATACAACACAGGAAAGTGCAGCAAAGAATCAACGTGCGTTTTTGAGTTATAAGATTTTAACACATTAGCCTCAAAAGGATGTTTCTTTTAAATTGTTGAAATACCACTACTTCAAATAAAAGCTTCAGTCCAAAAATTAAATTTTAAGTAATTATACTTGAGTTAAACCAAATTTAATTTGAAACTGGGTCTACCAAGAAACCTGTTTATTTTCTTTGGAGAATAGATATCATTAAACTGCAATTTCAAATTCGATATCAAATAGCCATTATCACTGTATGAAATGTTGAGATCCTCAAAACAGTGTTTCAAGTAAACTGTTATAATTAGTACACTAAACAATATCGTTATCGTAAACCTTTGAACTTTCAGATTTTTGAGCCTCTCTGTTAGGCAACTCTGCTTATACGTGTTATATTATATATATTATTAAAGAAGAAGCCGAAACCGATGTCGATCTGCAAGAAATACTTTGCATTTGCGGTTTTTCCATTGATCTCGTATTAATGCATTGACATACCGGTTTTTAAGATTCAAGTATAACTTGTGTCGGTAGCAATTTTTCGAGAAAAGACTACTGTGCATTGATTCATAGGTCAAGAACAAGAAGTGATTATTTGTATTCAAAATGTGGTATCCGAGAGTACTGTGTTTACCATTTTTGCTCTACAGTGTTCATGCACGTAAGTAGTAAAATTAAAGATATAATTTCCGTCGTACTAAGATTAACAAAACGGTGTTAAAGAGTCGCTGAATGGTTACTGCCGAACCCCGTCCGGAGAGTCAGCAAAATGTATAAGCATTTATCAATGCAATTCCTTGCTGGCTTTAGTTAGAACTCCAAGTAGGACTACAGAGCAAACGCAATTTTTGACTTCTTCCAAGTAAGTGCTCCGAACCGTGCAATAAAACACTATTCAACATGATTAAAATGCAGATGTGGCTTCAACTCAGCAGGAACCCCATATGTTTGTTGCGGATCTGGATTCAATAAAGTGGAACAGTCAGACGGTGATTTTTCCAATCCGGATTATACAACAAATCCCGCAATTCCAGATCGAAGTCAGTGCGGATGGCAAGTAAGTTTCTAATCTTTCCAATTTCCAAAATAACTACGTTGTTACTTTTTATGCATTCGAATATTTTCAATAACCTGGTGTAGTTTTGAAAATATTATTATCTTTGTAGATACAACGTCATAAAACTAACTTGCCATAGTTTTATGTGGATTTAGCCATGTCAAAGTTGCACAATTCTTATGCATTGTAAAAATGAAATGAACGTGATACATATTATTTTGAACAACGACTCAAAATAAAGAACTTCCAACGATTAAGTACAAAAACGATTTAATATCTTACTTATTTTATGTTATGGAGCCTATTTGACGATATTTGAGATCAGTTAGGTTCACCTGTTATCAAATTTCCAAGTAACACATCGACACATAACAAATCGACTGGTTATTTTACTTGAAGCTTTCAGTAGTGACTACCTAAACTTTCGTCTAACTGTTCATATTTAAAAACTTTTTGGACGCTACCAATAATAAAATGAAACAGGGACTTTTTTCCTGGGAATCATGCAGTTGATCATTCATGGGAGTGATGCAGACAGATAGAGTTACATGAAATTTCGATTTGCTGATATTTTTTTGAAGATCAATTGAATAAAAGATCTATGACATAAACGTAAAATTGCCAAGTTCTTGCAGTCAGAAATTACATAAAATATTTTAATATGAAATGTAAGTTTCCAACATTTTTTATCGGAAAGTTCCCGATTGGATTATAGTAGTTTAACAGACAATAAAAAACTTTGTTGTTGTAGAAAGATCGAGGTTAATTTAAACGTATTAAATTGTTTTCGCTTTAACCTGTTCTGCCAATTAAAGTATTAGTAAATTCTAATGTAAAACCGAGCACCTTGACAGCAAGTAAACAACATAACTTTATAAGAATGTTTTCTTCGAATTGCTGCTTTTTTATATTTTATACCATTTATACATAAATCAGAAGTAAAGATTACTTGATTCCCGATTTAGAGAACGAACTCGTTTTAATAGTTTGCTTTTTTGTCATAGTAGTTGATTTGTTTCAGAGAACATTTTTTAAGACGCTCACTGAACTTCAGTTATTCAGTATATGATCCTACTATACTGAAACCTGAACCTGAAAACTGGGTGCAGTTCTGAAGAAAATTATAAGTTAAAATAATAATAAATATCCTTTAGATTTTATAAATTGTTGATTTACTGTCGTTGAAGATCAACTGGTAGTTTTTTTGACAATTTAGAAAAACGCTACTGTAGTATGTCAAGCTAAGGCACGATATAAGTACGAACCAAAATCGCAATTTATTTTTAGTAAATTGACAACTTAACAAGCACTTTTGCTTTTATAAATATACCACAAAACCGTAATTTAATTTACTCTTTTCTTGTCCTGTTTAATCAAATTTCAAACGACTATCCGTCCATACACAGGTCTAAAACACATTCTTTATATTACATCTACAATTATAATATAGTAGCCTGATAGTGCACAGTTGTTTTACTTGATTTGATTTAAATTTATTTACCATACTTTACCAACAAAACTGAAAAGCATACGAATCTACATATTCTTTTCCTACTATAAAATAATTTTACTCAACTCCTTAAATGCGTAGAATTGTGTATATTTAATTGAAAATCAACAATAACAGATTTTGAATGCAGCAGATGTGAATATTTTCGGAAAGTCTATAGAAACAGTTGCTGATTTTGGACAGACCAGATCTTTCTAAAAACTTTGTACACAGAACTATTTTAAGCACTGGCAAAATGTACAATATTCTGAACATGCAATAATAAAGTTGTCAAGGAAAAAGTACATTTTTGATTGAAAAATTAAGTCATCGATTTTTCTCCTTCTCACGAATGTCTCTACCCCAATCCCCAAGAAGGAAAAACATTTTTCAATCAAATAAAAAAAATGAAATTTAGGAAATTACATAAAAAATGATTAAAAGATCTTCCAAAACTCTCGAATGGCAACGTTGCCTCCTTTAAAAACTAGTTACAATCTTAGATTACAATTAAAACTTATAATTTTAGAACTTAAATACCATATTTATTATAAAGGAGCAAGCCAATTATTCAGAAGATTTCAAACTCTCACACATTCCTTGTCCGAGCCACTCAAATAAAAAAAAATATTAGTGAAATTTATGTGTGACAACTGGAAATGAAGTAAAGGCTAACCGTGTACATGGAACACTTGTGAGCAACTGTTTGCATTCTTCGCAAAGTAATAAATGCCAAAATTTATTGGCAATTGAAAATTACCACATTTTTATTCCGTTGCAACCAAATATATCAAAAAGTTGATAGCAAAAAAGTTCATAATGTAACAATATGCTAAAAGTTGCAAAAATTAGTTATTGAAAGCGATGCTTTGAATTAACCAAGCTGTAAATCTTCCTCTTCGTTTTTAGTCCCAGAATAGAATATATAATGGCGAAAAAACCGGCTTAGATGAGTTTCCTTGGATGGCGCTAATACAGTATTTGACTGCAGCTGGAAAGCAAAAGACTGCCTGTGCTGGATCCTTGATCAATAGAAGATACATCCTAACAGCTGCTCATTGTGTAACAGGCGCTGTCTTGGAGAAAGTTGGACAACCGTAAGAAAGTACTCTGCTATATGCATTCAAAATAACGCCAACCATTTTCCAGAATAAATGTTCGCTTGGGAGAGTACGACACGAGCAGTCCAAACATCGACTGTTATCACGAGGGTTCTTTCCGATTTTGTAACCAACCGGAGGTCAATGTGAATATTGAGACACTCATTCCCCATCCAGGATACAACAACGCCGACCAGAACCGGAGGCATGATATTGCTCTAATAAGACTGAGTCAAGATGTTCAATTCTCAGGTACAACTTCCAACTCCATTAATCCGATATTGTTTTTACTATAAAAATAACTTCCAGATTACATTCAGCCGGTTTGTTTGCCATTGCCTTCGGAAGCATCCAGCAACGGCGAGACTTTGATAGTGGCTGGATGGGGACGAACCGAATTTGGCAAAGACAGCGACGTAAAGCTGAAACTGCAGGTTCCAAAAGTGAACCCCAACTCCTGTTCAAGCACTTTTGGTGCCCTAGGGGTTTCAATCACGGAAAATCAAATCTGTGCCGGCGGTGAGGATGGCAAGGACTCTTGCAAAGGTAAGTTATATGTATAACAGTTACAATGAACTAAAAGGAGTATTATTAAAGATTTGCCATTTAAAGCAATTTAGGTCTCGTAATGGTTTTGTTCCAAATTACTCAAACTACATTACTTTTAATTCCTGCATTTCAACAAGCTGCTAGGTATAATTCTGCCATTCTAATAACTACATTTTTGGGGAATTACTCAGGTTTACCTAGCAGTTGGCTTAATATAGTACGTGCTGATGCGTTGAATTAAGTAAGAGACTCTTTGCCTAATTTGTTCGTGTTTCTGCGTCTTCATTCGCGTTTTCTATAGATCGGATCGTATTTTCTTATTTTTTTTTTATAAATATTGACAATTACATATCTCGACTAGAGAGGAGAATCAGTATTGGAGAATATATTGCTGATGGACTTTTCAGGTGATAGCGGAGGACCATTGATGAGAACCTTATTCCAAGATTCCTCCAGGTGGATGATTGAAGGAGTAGTCTCTTTTGGGTATATTTGTGGTACCAGGGGATATCCAGGAGTATATACTAAGGTAGCTAAGTACGTTCCATGGATTCATCGGACGGTGAAAGCTTAGCAAGATTGGGAAACAAGACTAATACATATACGTACTTTCAAATGTTACGCATTTATATTATAATGTCATAGTGCTCAGATTAAATTCGTGGGAAATCATCAGTTGTATATACTAAATACCAATAAAGATAAGTTATTTACGCTGTAAAAAGCAAATTTCACGCTTTCTAAAGAAAAGCAAGTTCTAATGCTTAAGAGTCTTTACGTAATTCCCATAATTCAATGAGTCTACTATAACACCTAAACAAATCAAAGATCTAAATTTGCATTCTTATTGCTTACTCATATAGTACGAAAATTAAAATCAGAAGCATTTTTGGCCCAATTTTCGTCCTCCGACAATGTCCGCATTTAGTTGCTGTGAAATTCAGACCTGCTGACAAAATGTTCTTACACGTAAGAAACCAGATTAAGGGATCAACTGAAAATTGAAAAGTAATGAATGTATGAAGAAGTTCAGTAACCCTGGCTTTGACTCAATGAGCAATTTAAAGGAAATATATTAGACACAACTAGACGTTTTCATTCCAAATCCATTAGTGGTATTTGATTGGTTGGGAAATAAACACATAAGCTTTTTTTGGCACGAACGTTTTTATATTAAGATTATACCACTTCTACTTGGTGGAATTTTATTTCAAAAAAAAACTGGGGATATTGCTGAGTATCAAGTTATCATC